GATCACTTGTTAGCAAATTCTTCATTTAAGAAAAATAATTGTGATTTTTTGATCCAAATTCAAAAAGTCAATTATCATACTTCACAGTAAAGTTAATTTCTTGAATGAATGTTTGAAGATCAAATAAATTGAGCATTAACTTTTTTTTACCTCATATTTTAATTTGTAGAAAAATTGGCTAACAAATCCAACACCATTCCACTTGATATTAGTTCCAAGTTGTCAAAAATATGAAGTATATAATGTTATATATTAATTACCTTATTACAAAATACATGAATTTTATTGGTTGTAATATAAATTATATCATATTTTCTATATATAGATCAAAATTCTTTCAAAAAAACCTTCAAATTATTCAATACTAGATCTTGTTGTTCAAGAAAAGATGAAAACTATAATAATGTTGAATCTGAAAGAAATATACCAATGAATCTAATTTACACTTTTAGAATTGGATAGATTTAAAATTGAAGTTCAATCACAAATTGTACTTCATTGATAAATTCTCAAAATTTGGATCTTATGCTATCAAACTTCTTGGGCATTGCAACCTTTGATTTTCTAATACTAGAAGAATGTTCAACTATAGAAAAAACATCATGATTTGGTACAGATGTTGAAGTAGCTCCAATCATTTCTATATCTTTATTCCTTGTTGTTCTTGTTACTTCTTGTGGTGATAAATTGAGTTGATGCAATGTAAGCATTAACTCCTTCAATTATTCTTATATTTGTGCCATTGCATTCTTTATTTTTAAAAGCTATGTTATAATAACTCTTAGAGAAGAGAAGTTGTCTAATATTGTTCAAGTCAAATCAAAGAGGGAAGTTAAGAAAAAATAAAATATTAAGGACAATATCATTTTAGAAGAAGGTAATCTGCAACTTCTAATATATTTATATCTTATGAAGAAATAGGAATAATCTACTTTTAATTAGAAAAATTCAAAGCTTTGATATTGTAAGTATAGACTTGTCAAATTGACAAGAATAAGAATCTAATGAAAGCAAATAATCAAATGAGACTTTTTTCAAAGAAGTATAATAGAATAGAAACAAGAAAACATGTATATTAAAAAAAATTGAAATGACTATTGCCAAAAGATAAGAAAATTTAAGACTCTTGAATCTAAATTAAAATAAGAAAAGAATTGATAAGAGTAAAGAAGGCTTCATTCTTGTCTCTATATATACTATCTATCTAGGAGCTATGTGGCGATGTTCTATAGGACCTCTAACATGTGTTGACTTTGTAAGCTACATGTTTTAACTTATAAGACAAGTTTTTTATGTGTATGCCATATAATTAGTTTATTCTATAAGCTATCCATTTGGATGATACGTGGCTAATTTATTGACCAAGTTTTTAACCTAAAAGTCAACTATAAATATGTATAAAGTAAAAACTATATCTATGAAGCTTCTAAAAATCTTCTGTAGAAGATAATATGAAATTAATTTATTTTTATTTATTTTTACATACTTCTATGTAATCATATAGGTAATTATTAGAATAAGTATATATATTTGTAACAGTGACTCAAATATGATAATTATTCATAGAAGAATTTACACTTGCCATAATGTAAGTGTAATTTCCATTGCCATAATTCTCAAATAATGTTATTAATGTCTTACATGATCTTGGAGGTTGCTACTAAAAATGATAACATTATCAATATATCATCTAGAAAATTTCCAATCCATTATCCTTTAAAACTTAGTCAATATATTTTTGAGATCAAATAGAAGAAACTTCTAATTATAAAATTAATTTTTACTATCTTGATCAACTTTCTAAAATATTTTCTTTATTCAATCTTAAACAAGTAATGGTAATTGATGATAATCAATTCTTAAATCCAAAAGGTTGAATACTCAAAAAAAATCTATTATATCAAATAATTTTTCTAGCATTAGCATTAGATATCAATCAAATTTAATCTTACAATTAACTAGATAATGTTTTCTACACATCTGCTTCTTTGTCCAATTGCCATAAACAACCTTCTTTAAAGCTATAACTATAGCATAAGTATACTTACCATTGAAAATCTCAATCAAGTCTACACCTAATAATTCTTAAGAATAAGCTTAGATGCCAATCTTCTCTAAGGTATTAAGTCTATAAGGTTGTCAAAAGATTGGATGATCATCTTCCAACTAAATGTGAATATATTTGCTTCTATAACCTTGAAGGTCTTCTAGGCTAAAAAAATAATAATTACAATAGTGATAAATAAAAGTTCTTATCCTTTGTACTTTAGCACTAGTAAGAAGTGGTCCTAATTCCAATAGCTAATCATCAAACTCTGTAGTCTCTTTTTTCTTCAATGAACCACCATTGCCTACTAATATTGTAAATTAATACAGCCATTAGGAGAAAAAAGAAAAGAAAGATTATATTATAGAGGAGCTTAAATAAAAATATTTTAAAAAATTATCTTAAAAATATAGATAATAGATAAAGAGATAGTAAAAATTAATAAGTGCTAATATTACCTTCTTATAGAAGAGACTTCTATTTACTTTGTAGAAGAATAATTAAACCAAATAAAAGTAGATAAAAATAGATAATTAATATAGATATCTTTAGGAGAGAGTTAAAAATAGATTTCAGTAAAAATTACCTCAAAATACCAAAAATTAATATCTAAAAAAGACCGGTTGTGAACCAAGGTCAAAATTAGATCCTTAGACATAAAACCACCCAACTATAACAACTTTGGAGTTTTTTTACTAATCAAAGAATGGAATTAGAGAAAAGACTATAAAAAAAACTATTTGAGCATTATTTTCATGTGATTTGAAAGTATACTGAGTTTTTGAGGATTTTAAAGTAAAAATTATATTCAGGGATTTTAGATTTTAAGAAATAAAAAGAATTTTATAAATTTGAAGAATGTGGAAGTATTGTAGCAAATTTATAAGTGAATTTTTGTGATTTTTTTTATTGTACTTGTCTTAAATGTACTTGAAAAATTTGATGTCAATCAAAAAAACAAATTGAACATTATAAGAGTTTTATTGGAGTTAGATCTTAGATATTTGAAATTTAGAATAAATAAAGATTTTTGTAATTCTGAAATATTTGCTAGTTTAATTGAAGCAAATTTGGTGAAGACAATTTTGACCTAGTTATCTACAAATTAGCCAACTTGTACAGCAATTGGATAATTTAGCAAGGAGAAATTTCTTCAGAAAGATCAACATCCACATTGGAAAAAGAGGGCAGGCAACATTCAAGAGGTTCAGAAACTTTTTTTTTCTAGTTGGCAAGTTTGATTTTCTTCTAATTTTGTATATTTTTTATTTGCTTGTGAATTAAAATGTAGATGAAATTTTAGTTAGGATCAATGGTTTGATTAATAGTTATTGAGATTATAAAGCAATTATAGGAACTGATTAGGATTTATTTAGGATTTTTGGATTTGTTTAGGATTTAGGATTTTTTTGGAATTTGGTTAGGATTTGATTAAGATTTTATTAAAATTATTTGAAATTTGATTAAGATTTAATTAAGATTGGTTTAGGATTTCATTAGGATTTCTATAGGATTATATTAGGATTTGGTTAGGAATTATTTAGAATTTTTAGTTTTAATATTTTTTTAAAGATTTCTTTGATAATTCTTTAGAATTTTTATTTTATTATTTTTTTAGGATTTTTTCTTATAAATATTTCTTTAAGGTTTATTTATGATTTTTTTTATGTTTCTTTGAAATTTCTTTTAGATTTGATTAAAGATTGATCAATGTTGTTACAATTTAATTAGAGTTTGTTTAATATTTTATTAGAGTTGTTAAGACCTTGTTGTTGCAAGTTCTATTGTTACCTTCCATAGCTAGGTGCTTGATGCTTTCTCAAGTAAACCTCAAGAAGTTTAGGAACATAGATAGTTGATTTTTACAAATCTTACTTAAACCACATTCAAAGATAATACAAACCACTTGCTTTGCTTTGCTTTTATCTTGATTGTTTGATTTTATTGCAAAGCAATGTTGACCTATTGAAATAGAAAGCTAGAATCAAGATTGGAGAGGTCCAAAAGGAGAACTAAGGGCTAGGAATTGAATCAAGGAGGTTTAGATAGGAAACGTGGACAAGGGCTAAGAATGGAGGGAATAGATATGAATAAGTATAATGATGGTTTTGACAAGTAGAGTCAATTTAGTAAAAGCTTGGGTCATTTTAACATTTTTCTTACTATATTGATTATTATATAAAAACCATGGTTTATAATTTTTTTTGTTGTAATTAAGTTACTAATTATATTTTAAGTAACCATGACTTGAAAGAATTAAAGGTAAATTGTCAATTTAATAGTTTAAATTGTATCTTTTTTATCTTTTTTTTTTTTTTTTTCAGTGTAGATTTTATTCTTGATTCAACTAACAAAATAAATAAATAAAAGTCCCAAGATACAAAGAATCAAAAGAATTTAAATCAAAAGAATTTCTCTTCTATATTTTTATGTGCTTCCAATAACACAACAAACCAAATTTTGATTTAATTTAATTTTATGTTTTAATTTTATGAAGGTTTAATGACGTTTATTGATTATGATATACTGAAATTGTTCTTTAACATTGAAGTCTATGATAAATATGGTGATGGCAAAGTAAGTTTGTAATTGGATTACTTTACATGAGACCTGTATAAAACAAAAATGGTTCATAAATAACTTAAAAAAGCCATACTGAATAAACAAACAAATATCCAGCTTAAAAAAAGTGGAAGTAAAAGCAGCAAACTGGAGCCAAGTGCAGAGAAATTGGGCAAAGTGAACTAGGAAAGCACCAATTTCAATGTTCAGTCACAGACATGCAAAATGAGAACTGGACGACTAACCTGGGGTGTGAGAATTCCCATCATCAACAAATATTGACATATCAACTGGAAAATCTAGCACTAGAGAAATGAACAGATACTTCGTAGAGATTGGGAGCTCGAAAGAGTAAGTTGCAAGCATGAAACATACATGCTGAAACAGTCGGTGAGTTGAATAATAGTCCACCCAAACATATATTACAAACGAGGAGTTACATAATCATGGCTGTATCCTACATGCTCAATAACAAAACAAACATACCATCCTCCCCTGGCCTAGCAGTGGCAAGGACCAGAGATAAGAAAGCACTCTATACACCAGATGAAGTGATGGGAGTAAGCGTGTCGTTATCTTCCAGAAACAGCGTCCCGTACAAAATCGTCACAGGATGTGCAACCCCCTGTCAAAGCGTCGGGTAAAGCACCCATGATGTCAAGTGCTTCTTGTACATCGTCCGCGCCTTGCACATCTTCAAGCCACTCCAAAATTTCCTTCGAAAATCCAAGCATGGCACTCACGTCCCGAACTCTCTCTTTCATGATCACTTCCCAAGGCTCCATACCTAACTGGCTAACTGTAGTTTCTTCTTTGGTACTTTCAGCTGCATCTACCTCCAACTCTCGGGATTTTTTAGTCCCGCTTTTTAAAAAGTGCTGTAATTGATCTACTAAACCAACATACACAAGCATGGGGTGAGCTATACTGAAAAGTTGTTCGGGACTCAACGCCCCATTCTGACTATTGTCCTGTTGACTAGGACCTGGTGTCTTAGGTTCTATTGTAGGTGAATGAAAAGGTGAAGAATCAAGCGCAGACAGAGGTGAAAGTAAAGGGGAGGCAGGGAGTAGAGATCGCCCTTGCTTGTACTGTAAGTAAGCATGAGCCAATCCACGCTGGATAAAAGTTCGGCGATATCGCTGCCACTCTTCCAGGGATTGCAGTAAAAGGGACTGCACCATCATAAACTGGACACTTTCCTCTGAACTTGACCCTCGCTGTGGTGTAGTCGGAGTGCTGGGTTTCAATCCTGAACCCCCTTCTACAGGCTCAGATGATGAAGTAGGAGACAGAAATGTAGCCAAAGATTTAGCCTGAATACGACGTTGGCTGGCTCCTCCTTGGTCCAGCAAGTGTCGTGCCATTTGGATCATGAAAGGCAACAAACGGGAGTTGCTTTCGCGTCCTCCACCCTTACTGTCCACGCTGAAGGACATGTTGGTAGCAAATCGACCCAGCATCTGATTCCAAAAGCCAACAGTGCTTCTAATTAATAAGTACAAAACATGCACGTTAAGTCGCTGTAACTTTTGCAGTCTAAAACACTAGTACAGCTTTAAAACCTCCACAAGAGAATTTCGACAAAAATTTAGTCAAATGCAAAATAAAAACATTCGCAGATTAGTAGTGGAAATATCTGGGAGGGACAGGTGTGGAACCTACCATAACAATATCAAACATAAGCAGCCGTAAGCGACTACCGTCTGCACGACCCAGAGCGTTCAGACTATCCCAATAATGATCTACGCAGCGAGCGTACTGCGCCAGAGGTACGGAAGGACCCCTGAGAGGAAAAATGTTGTTACAAAGGGTCTCACTATTGCGCAATGTTGCGCCCTCCCACTCTTTCTTGGGATTTTTCAAGGATGCATCTGCTCGCTTGGCCTCCTGGTGGCACTGAAAGTGAATAACGTTGAAGTGGCTCACGGTTGTGTATACCCACTCACTGCGCTTATGGTTGCTAACACCCAGCCCTACATTCACACGCTTGCTGTAGCAGTAAGTTCCCAGCATGTCTGTTGGGCGCAATAGATAACCTTCCCTACAAACCATGCATGCTAACCCTGCTTCTTCCTCTTCCACCTCATCCATGCCTTCAATATGTGGTTTCGAGACCACTATGCGCTCTCCACCGTCAGATCGCACCTCACGCCGCATGCCTAAGCCCTGTGGAACAGAGAAATAAACTTAGTATAGCAACCTTACGCACTAGTTGTAATTGATTTTGTAAATATTTGAGAAAACAAGTCACTGCACTTTGAAAGGAATATTTTTCATCAAATAAACAAACAACATCAAAGACTGTTTGCTAACAGCATACAAACACACCTCAAGCAGCTCTTCCCGTCGGCGTAGAGCACGTCGTCTCATCTCATCGCGAGTAGAGTTCCGGAGATGTAGAATCTTCTCTAGTAAAAATCCTTCATTATTTCCTTCTTTGTCCGCAAGCGTATCCAACAAGTTTTCAGCTCTGGCACCTATTTCGTTCTCTCCCGAAACCCCTTCAAGTCCATGCAGAAGAGGTAAAATCCCTTCATTATCTAAGTACTGTTGAATCGCCAAGTGACCTCTAGACAGCCCTCTCAACATTGATAAAATGATGGGAACAGATGGCATTTCAAGAGCCTGCACCCATTCTGGTCTCGCCTTTTGATTCAAACCATTTTCTTGAACAGGAAAGGCTCGCTTCAAATATTGAATAGCAGCTGTTGGCAATAAACACGCACGAGAAAGATAATGTAAGATACAAACTCAGTTTAAGATTTTACCGATGTATGCACAAAAGACACAGTAGATCAACGCGTGAACTTTAAATGAAAAGCAGCGAAGTCTCCAAGAACATAACTCGTTTCATCCACTCCACGTACCCAATAAAGTCAACGTTTCTATATTAACTTAAACAAACATATGGCTTTGCATGAGCGTTCTACAAATCCACTGTTTCACTAAATGTCGTGAAATCATTTGACAGCAAAATCTCCGGCGTGGTTACTGTGACATGCTAAGATAGAAGTGCCAGATTTACAATGAAAAAAAAAAAGGAAAAAAGAAGACAGTTCCAAGCATGCGGTAAGTGCAACATGAGAATGTAAACCAAGTCGAACCTGCAATAATTCCTTTATAAAAAACAAGGCTCTTGAGTCTTTCCCCATTGCTGTTAAGCTTGATGGATTCTGTGACTCGAACAAAATTTTCGAGTGCGCGCTGATGCTCAGTTGCTTTCTGCTTAATACCCTCGTCCTTGACATTCTCACAGTGCAATTTCTGCAAATCATCATAGGCATCCCAATCCTGGAGGTACGGTAAAAAGTGGTTCACGAGAACCTCCATAGCAGTCTGGTCCCCATAAGTCAGAAAGGGGAGAATTCGGGCGACTGTATCATTATTCCGTTGCTGCTTAGCTCCTGTGGAGCGGGTCAAACGATCCAAAAACATTTCCACAGCAGCAGCAGCTTGGCCTTCCGTACTCACCCCCGCATTCACATCAGTTTCATTGGCTTCAGACACTAAACTCTCAACTATGAGCAAGAGTCCTTCAGCTGGTTCAACTGCATCTGTTGTAAACGCTCGCCGGGCTGTTTCTAAAAGCACAGCTAATGCTCCAAAACGAAGAAGAGCTTGCCGGTTAGCACGAATCTTGCAACAATACATAAGCAACTTCAGCACGAGTGTAAGCTCCTCTTGGCCAGATTTCATATCAGAGTCACTTAGTTGCTGCAAGGGCCAAACAGAGAATGCATGAGTGACCGCACAAGTGCCAATCCAAAACTTATTGGTTCCATCACTTCAAAAGGCTGTAAACTATTACATTCACTATCACAAACAAACATGATAATACAGATTAAGGAGCTGTCTCGGCAACAACAAAACCGTCAATAAATTCTGATAAATGCATAGATTCTTTGTTGGCGAATAATGAAAATAAACTTCCGTTCAACAGTTGGCGAATTTTTTAAAAATCGCCAGTAAACTCGCAAACGAAAAAATACCTGAACCATACTGACTACGATTTCGAGACCTCCACACTCTTGCATCACTCCAGCAATCGCAAACTCAACTTCTGGGTCTTGGACTTCTTCACGATCATCCTCCAGTTCTTTGATCATCGGTTCTGTAGCTTCTCCGTCTAATCCCTGAACACGACCATTCCTACTATCAATATGATTGCAAACAAGGCCCAAAACCACTCTTCACCAACTAGATAGCAATCCTTTTAGAAGCAATGGCAACAGACCTGTAGTCGATAAGTAACAGTCATTGGTGGACACTCTCCTCCAAGAGCTGCAGCCGCACTCAGCAAACTTGTACCAACAGTAGAGCTCCCTGCTTGATTGTGAGCTCTTTTCCACACCTGCTCATATACCTAGACACAAGCAACATATCGGTTGAGACAGAAGATTAAACCACTGCCGGATTCTTACACAAACCAGATGGAGACAGACAATGATTTCTATTAGGTGTAAGTTCCAACATAGAAAAATATAGTTAAAAGCACACATTAATTAGAAGACTTCATTCAGAAAAGAGGACCACTAAAAAATAGTACGCGCGTAAACAAAAGCACCATGAACAGACTATGATTCCATGTTAAAAGACACCCAACAGGAATTTCATCCACTTAGTTTAAAACTGCAGAAAATCCAGAAATAAGTACCTGCGCTACGCTCAGATCCAGGGGAATGATGTTCCCAGCAACCAGAAGCTCCATACCATAATCATCCTCAATAAGGCCAATAAGCTCCAGTTGACGACAAATTTTGTTCTTTACGTCACGCATAAGAGGACCGATCTCGAGGCTGGAGTATGGATTCTTGGTCATGGAACCACGAATGAATTCCTCTTGGGTGTGCGCCTTATTGAGAACCATCATGTAGGCTGGTTCAGGTTTTGTAGGGCAGATAATATTGCATAGTTGCTCAAGAATAAACTGCAGAAGCAAATGTTGTATTAGCTCTCATACATGAATATAAGCTTTCACAAAAGCAATTAAAACACAGAAATCACAAACTACAAGCAGCAAGAAAAAAGACGAGCTGTGAGATGATTATTCCCCAAAAAATAAAAAAATAAAAACAAAAAAAACATATACAACTAAATTCACCAGATTGGATAAATTTAGGGCATTAAAAATCGAGTGAGTTTCGAGTCTCTTCTCTGGCACAAGGAATTACCACTGGAGAGCGGCCATTCCTGTCCCGGCTGAGGCCAGAGATACAGGCACGGATAAAATGACGCTTGTTTTCGTAGCTTTCTTGAAGGAGGCTGTCGAGCAGCTCTCGCAAAAGCCGCCCACAGTCACCAATAAGCTTGGTCTTCTGCACTATTAAGCCCCTGATTGCCAAAAGTGCTTCCAATAGTTGGGCGAGCAACTCCTCCTTCATAAACCTGTTACAAGACAAGCGGCACATGCCAATCAATTTACTGGAGCTCATCAAATAGACAGCACACACGCCTTATCTGCAAGACAACTCACATGATCCATACTGATCACGGACGGCATTTGGAACCAAGGGTATCTTGAAAGCAGATTATTCTTTGAAAAGAATGTAAGCCTCATCTACTACGCATTCAATAGAGAACATAAGCTTCACATGAAAAGTTTGCAGTAAGGTTCAAAGATTCAGAAACGACAATTACTTTGCTCGGATATTGGGCAGCTGCAGGAACTTGCTCAGAAGTTCAATGAGCTTGTTAAGGATGTATCCTTGCGAAATATCTGTGAGCGAGCTCCTTTCTTGAGCCTCAATTCTACTTACTTCGTCAGTGATCAAAGCACAAGTAGTGTGCAGGAACCCACGCACAGTAAGGTATAAGCGAGAGTCTTCAGGTTCTACCATCTTGAACAAAAGTTCAAAATAATCAGCTGCACTCTCTCCAGCAGCACGGGTCGCTGGTAAGAGGTTCATAAGCAAGTTCAGAAACCGTGATCGTCGCACTGGGCTCTGGGAACATAAAACCTCAATAAGTCCACACATTTCCAACCGCAAGGCCTGAGAGCATGCACTAAGAACAAGCTCTTGCACCCAAGAGCTCTCTTCAAATGCTGCCAACTCATCCGTAACAGACACTTTGCACGCCTTCCGCCGCCATAGAAGTGTGTACTTAAGCGCAAGATAATCCGCGTGCTTTGGGTCCTTACGAGACTTCTGTTGCACAGCGCTTTTGAGAGTCCGAGAGCCAATAAATTGTCTTCTAACAAAGTCCAGATATGTTGTACCGTTTCTCCACTCTGAGTAGTTTATTAAAGGCGTGTCTTGGCTATCTGATTCTTGGTTTGACTCTTTCTCAAGGAGAGCAGATGGATTCGATTTTCTGGTCCCATTGGACCCGGAATAACCAAATTTCAAAAAATCTTCTGATGAACTTGTTTGAGGGACTGACGGAACAGCCAAAGCAGCGTCATTTTCTGAATTGCTGTCTGGTTTTGGTGGTGTACATGCTTGAACCACAATGCGCAAGCATGGAAGGATGATGTGCTCTGCAATCATTGGATGGCGTGCTCCAACCTGCGAAAACGCAACCAACTCAGGAATATGTAGAAATTGCACCACAAGAATATGCGACTTCAGATTCCCCCTAAAAGTCACTGAAGAAACGACGAGACAATGATAATCACCTCAATGATTATATAAACAGATGCTTGAGCGGATATTCAGAAGAATATCAAATTAAAATATATAGGATTAAAACGTTACTATATTAATCTTCATTAGTTATGATCGATTTCCATAATTGCGTATTGAACCCACCTGAATAGATCGAAACAAAATCTGGAACACAACCCGCAAACGAGCTTCCCAAAATTCATCACTCAACGAGCATGTCTCAGAGAGCAACTGAAGCTCATCCCGAACACACGAAGAAATGTCCATGGAGCGATGATGGTCCAAGCAGTACAATGTTTTCTCCTTGATTAGATGGTTGAGCTCCTGAACAGCTGCAGAGTCACCCTCAGTGAAGGCACAAAGAACTGCTCGAGCCTGAACGCGAGCTGCTTTCGGACCCTGATGAATGTTATTTTCAAAAAGCTCCCTTAGAATGCCAGCACCGACCAACTGTTCTCGAACGTTAGCCTGCTTAGAGAGAACCTGTAACCATTCGAGGCATTGGCAAACGAATGTGTTCGCACAACCGAAGCACTTATTAGTTGGACGTGGGGCCATAGGTAATGCACTAGAACCAGATGACCTCTTCCGTTCTAAATAAGCCATCAGTACACGACGTAAGCCTTGCAGGGTCTGCACACTTCTGCTCACAGAATCAAACGCCGTTTTGCACTTTTCGGCATACAAAACCCCGAGAATGGCAATCTTTCTGTTGATCTTGAAAGAAGACGACCCAGGCAAAGACACCATCATTTGTTGAACAGAGTCCTTCTGTTGAGAGTCGGTCTCAGTTTCACCAATGCTTGACACAAGCTTTAACAAGGGCTTCTTGAAACTAATGAGTTGTTGATACTTCCTGTGAGCATTCTCTGATTCCGATTCAATAGCTGACAATCCCTTTTTCATGTCATCGTCATTTTCCATTGGGTCGAACGTGAAGCTGGGTTTTGCCATAAAATTAAACTCGAAGCGTCCATACTTGCTGTACCCACATTCATTGCAAAGAAAGGAATTCAGGTTTTCATAGTTGATGTTGCGGCATTGTCGACATTGATAAGCGTTTTCATGGCAATTTCCACATATGCCATGCTTATCAGTAACATAGCGGCTGCAGCGAGGGCACTGAAGTGATTCCAACGATGCTGCTTGAAGATTCTCGTAAAATGTGTCAAGCTCAATCATAAAGTTGCAGGCTGTTATGGGGATTGAAAACTCCACTTTCAATTCAGTCTGATTGAAAGCAAGGTGACAGCTCCGGGCCCGCTTCCACAATGACCAATTATTTTTAAGCTCTGAAAGATCGGCAACGGCCCGGTTGTTATAATAAAGATTCAGAATCTTGACCGACTTCGAGCGACGTGCATCATGTACGTTCATTATCACACTCTGAATAGTATGACTCCCAACACACTTCACCAATATTCGGTTATCTGTAAACTTCGTTTCTGCCTTGATGTTATCCAATTTCATGCGCGTATACGGCACTTCTGGACTGCTACATGCCAAACAAGGCTCACTCTCCAAATAATAACCGTCAAACTCCACAAGGCTTGTAAGTGTGTTATAAATACGGGAATTCGGATGGTTCGCAAGAAGCTCATTCTCAGCACATAAAGCTCCAAATATGCGCTTCACCACATCTCCAGTCAAGCAGCTTCGAACAGTACTTGCTTCCTCGGAATTAGACTTTCCATCATTCCCTTTATCACCTTTCGCAAGTAACCAGGTTAATAAGTCAGTGTACTCCACTATATTGTGCCCATAAGATGGTAGGACAGGAATTTTGTCGAGCAAACATGTAAGTAAAAGAACCCGGAAGGGCTGCTTCCCATGATTCCATGTACCATGCAGCACAGCCTTGGCTTCAAACCGAACAGACGTAGCATTCCACTCTAATAAGAACATGTCAATGAAGTTCTTCAAAATCTTCCCGTCTTCCAGAGCGAACTGCTCAACTGCCATGTCCATATCCATGGGAACTTTATCATAACCATTTGTTTCATCAACACTACTCCGCTTCTTTTTCTTTGCCTCTAATGTAGGAGTCCCAGACCGAGTTGGACCAGACGAATTGCAACCACTAGCTTCAGCTTGTTCAGAGGATCCCTTTCCTGAACTGCCTCCTTCTTTACCTGTACGATGAGCAAAAGATATATAAGAGCTCTGTCGACGAATTAACTATCAATACTTCTAATCCAACACACTCATAGATAGCGAGAGATAATTGATTAAAGAAAGTGAAAGTCTTAAGTACACAATACCTGAGTAGAAAAGGAGCATTAACAGCTTCATGGTTTGTACCACTGACTCTTCTCCAAACGAGAATGCGCCCTTCAAGAGAAACAAAACCACATCAATATGTCTAGAGCAATGCTTCTGCCAGTTCCGCGGCCTCGCCTGTGCAACTTCAACAATAACGGACAAGCATTTCACCAATTTGACGCTCATTTCATATGGTAGAGGTGCTTGAAATCCATCTGTCTTTTGAGCAAGCTTGTACAATCTCTTCACTTCTCGGCTAAGCTGCCATGCATCCCTGACATTGTAATAATGGCCTTTTGTACCACATACATGCAGCAAGAGTCTCCTGGCATATTTCCTAATGAAGGTGGTATGCGGATTGTTCATGTAGCTGCATAAAACGTCTTGCCAACCATCCAGTTTCAAGTCCAGGCTATTTGAACTCCTGTACACTGGCTGATCTTTGTCTCCCACCTTTTCAGGCTTCTCGGGGTGCACAAGACTGTAAGTCAGCTTAAAAGCACTCTCCACTAGCAGTCGGTGGTAGTCACCGAACAAATCCCCTCTGTGAGCCTTGGCATATGAATCCGAGAAAAACGGTGTGAAGCTCCCTGAAGCAAACTCCCGTCTTACTGTCAAAAGTGCCCCACAAGCTGCGGTGGTTGTGCTAGGCGGAATCACATCAGCACCTCTCGAAGAAGCCTTGAACAACTGCATCAACTGCTGTATTATGTTGTGCAAGTAAGTGAGTAAAGGCTGCTGTCGTAATGCTGCACAAGCTTTCACAAGTTGAGAGCTCCCCTCAGGTCCAACTTGAGTTTCATTAGGTCGTGATGCAGATAAAGGGCTGCTAGCGGACGCAGTCGGACCTGTGCTAGCTGTGCTTGGCCTTGTTTGAGATTGTTCAGAACCTGGTTGATGCCAATTACGCAAAACAAACGTAAAGAACATAAAAACGAGAATGCAAACTTCTCCCAGGTTTGACCGAGTTTTCACTTGCAGAGCCCTGCTAAGATCCAATTCCTGCAGCATTAGCTTGACAAACTGCTCCAAGTCTAAATATCCTCCGTTAGGTGATCTGTCAACCAGTGGACCTGATGGAGCAGAAGCCAACCTATAAAACAACTGCATAACAGGTACTGCTTGTGCACCAGAGTGCAAGTGCATCCATCCTTTAATATCAGTAATGAGCTGCTGCAAAATCAATAAATTCACGGCGCTTTTGGACGCTGAAATCTCCACACTCTTCGGCTCCTCAATTATCACCGATTCAATCACATCGCGGCTGTCATGTGATTCTATGGGCGGTACAGCACTTGCCTGTAAACTGAGTTCCGTAGCCATCTGAAGCAAGCTCTCATCACTCATTTCATCTATCGAGGAAAATTGCAATTCATTTCCTTCCCCACCAGCTAAGTCCACCTCAATAGCAATGGCCGACATGGAATGTTCCCTGCTGTGAGGTGGAGGAAGCTGGTCAGCATCCATGACCTCATAACAACTCTCACAAAGGTCAAAGTCGGGGCACACGTTGCAGTGCCAGCGTCTTCTCAATATGGGAACAGTGGAACATCCATCACAACAATACTGAACAGAGGCAGTATTGGTGTCCTCATCCATCATACCCTGTGCAGCACCGGCATTGCCACTTCCAACTTCTGGAGTGATGGCCGGTGTCCTCTGATTTTCAGCTACATCATCCATAGCCAGCATTGTCTGTTTCGGGAGTGGGACCTGCAACAATCTTGCCGACATAGCCAAGCTGCAACCAGCAAAAACCAAAGCCCACAGTAAGTTCAGCACAGATGTAGCGAGCATGATTTAATTTTAAGAGAAGTAAAAAATTGGTCAAAAGTAAGCCTCGCATATGTTCAGTGTATTTATAATGAGTCTCATTCCAGGACGCACAGGCCGAACAAGGAATATATGCTCAGCTGCTGTATGAAAAGAAGATTCCAATTAAACAAAGAGACTACGAGCCTTGTCTAACCAGTGGAAAACAGCATGCACGTCAAATGAAAATGATACACACCTGCAAGATGTTCGCACAGGTTCATAAGGTGCAAATAGCAGTTTCCTAAGGAGAGAGACTGCTGGGGCTAAAGCCCGTTGAGGATCCCCAACATCATGAGCCTGCTGCAACGAAAGACACTCCGCATATCCATAAATGATATCCACCATGGGTATCACAAGATTATTAATCGATTGAGCGTCAAGCTGCTCTCTTGACAATATTTCCCAAAGCACTTTCACAAGATCTTCCACAACTGAGGCTCCTGCTATTGCAAGAAGGATACGTGAGTCCAAAAACAAACACAGAAAGAAAGGAGGATTGGGGTGGGAGTGATATCTGCTCACAAGGCAGCCCCACATATCAAGCAACTAGAAGATCGCGGAACTAATTAAAATAAAACTTACAAATCAGAAACAGTTTCGTGAAAACAGACGTACCGTGCTGGGTCAGAAAACTGGCCAAATTAGACTGACGATGCACTGCGATTTTACACACAGCACGCATTTGAGCTGAGAACTCCTGAACAGCCCACGATGTCGCAGATCCTCCAACAGCTAATCTTGATATTAAAAATGGGCAACTTCGAGTAACCGCAGACAAACGCATATAATCCTTAGCCTGCAAGTAGAGAACAATATGCATCGGAATTTGGTCCATATAGCTCGTGAAAGCTCAACGTTACACATTCCGTTCAACTGATTCCCTTCGAAAACCACTATATCATGAAACACAAGAAACACGTAAACATTTAACTGACCGTAAAGTACCCGCCAGTACGGAACTTCTGCCACAATCATTTGACAATTCATACTCTCCAGACGACGAGGAATAAATCAAATAAAAGGAAAGGAAAAACAGTGAGTTGAAGACTAAATGTGAAACCTGATTGTAAGCATCCTTCGCAGGATATAAAGCTCGTAGAACATGCCTAGCTGATGACTGTGGCAGTGGTTGTCTGTCATTTTCGAAAACAACTTCCAGAACTGGCATACAATGTTTCCGACTTTCTTCTAGTCTATTGGGTGTGGATTCTGCCATAAACTGGGCCCGACATGCCAAATAATAACTCTGAAGGAGCAGCAGACTGTCTGAAAACAATTGTTCCAATGGAGACGCGTTCTGCGCCAACTTGTGTTTAGTTCTGCTTAAGCCAGACTGGGTGAGGTTTGTCCCTGCATGCCCTGCAGGTTCTGAGTCCAAAACAGCGTCTAACTTCTCCTTCCATCCAAAGTCCTCTTTAGAACGGCCGTAAATCTCTAGGTAGTCTATTCTCGGAAGAGAAGATCCACTAAAAGTGGGCCCGATAAAAATAGTGAACTCTTCGTCAGCCAGCAATGCTTCCGAATCAGTGAACGGAATATCATACCAGCAACGAACGCCTTCCTCAAGCTTTATGGATCTTTGAAAAACACAGAGTTCTGATGGAATATGGCTTGCAGAGGTGTTTCCAACATGCACTCGACAACCTACCATCACAAGGTCCGGGTTGGAATTGAACACAAGAATCTGCACGAGCAAGAGCATGAAATGATAAGCATATTAAGACAAAAACAACAGCACTGTGCGAGACACACAAGAATGCTATAATAAGTTTAGGAAGAAAATATAGATCGAAATGCTTTCGGCTGCTATGTTCACAAAGCAATTGCAGTTCGAAAGTACCTTAAACCCAGATACACTGGGAGCTTCTAAAAATCCTTCTTCAGCTTGCAGGCACAACTTCGCACCTTCTGAATCACTATTCCGAAGAATGTCCCCTCCCAGCTTTACATCTGCTGTAATACACGTAGTTCTTTCAAAAAAGTCCAACGGAAATACAGGGACAGAACCACAAAGATTTGCTCGACTGCCTAAAAGGGCAGCTCCAAGCTTCTTCACTTGCTCGGCTTCCAAGCTTCCAGGTTGTTTCTGGCTATCACCACCACTTAGACCATTACTAGCCTCGGGCACCACTGATACGTAAGAAAACACTTGCAAGCTTCCGTCATCGTGAAGCACCAACACACTGTTTCTTTCTTTGCTCATGGACCGATATGATGCAACACCATCAATACGTAGAGATGATGAATTACCAGTTATCCTTAAAAGCTGAGAGTAAGTCTCGCTAGCTCCAAGTTTTATAGCCACTGCTGTATTGGATCTTTGACTTGACAAGCACATAAACAAATCATTGCCTTCGAACATCTCCTTCCAATGATGCAATCCCGAAGCCCTGATTTTACCATCTTGAACTTCCACTACACTAGCCACCTCGGAAAGACTGGTAAAATCAGGATCCATTCGAGCAATTAAAGTACGATTGTCACTGTGTGACAAAAAAAGTAATTTCAAGGCAGCAGAATAATGCAACGACACGCCCTTTAGAGACTTGTGACCTCCAGGAATTTGAATGTTTTCTGTCAGAATTCGGGCCCCAGCGTTGCCACCAGCAACTCTCTGGCTGTATAAAATGCCTTGCTGAGAAAGGACAAGAGCAATTAGCTGTCGCTGACCTGTAGAAACCAGACAGGCATCTGCTATAGAGTCCTCGAGAACAGTAAAATAGTGGGTTGGACTGATTTTATCCTGGGAGAGGTCATATATCTTAACAAACCTATTAGTAACAACCATCAATTCAACTTGCGAACCAGGAACCCAGGAAATTCGACGTATGTATGCATCTTGAAGAGCTAGCTCTACGGCCAAACGATCGGTTACTTCTCCTCGAGGGTTGACAGTAAAAACTTGGCAGTCTTCATACCCCGCAACCGCCAAGTTACTTTCGTTTGCAATGTTGAATACGAGCTGCACCACTTCAAAGCGTACCATATTCTTGGATAAAGGCTTGACTGTTGTCTTGTCAACGGTAACGGGAATCGTAGTCAGTTGGCCAATAAGTTGCCCAACGTCAAAGATGGTTACTTTATCACCTTCTCCAGCCGCTAACCTGCCTCGGCTGCTGATCGTGAGTAATGACTTCACGAGTAGACCGCTAGCCAAATGAGACTTAAGTTCCCGTGCGTTAGGGTACTCTGTCTTGATTTTCATGTCCAATGATCCGCTCTTGTAAGCTCTCCTGAGCTGGAGAAGATCAGTCTTAAAATTCAAAGCTCTGTCCTTGGACAACGATATTTTCTCTTCATTCTGGCTGGCCAACCTGTGATCTAAATTTAAATTACCAAGCAACCTTTTGCACAAGGATAGCACCTGGCCTTCAACATTCAACTCTGACAGAACAGTCAAAATGTGCTTTTCTTCACCTTCCACAACTGAGATGTTGAAAGAATCTTCCTCAGGAACATGATCCTCATCTTCAATATCAGAATCACTGTCCGAAAGAGGAAGCTGACTTCTGTGGCTGCTGAGTGGTAAAAAGTTTTCTGTTGTGGCAGTTCCTGTTGAAATATTAGCGCTCGAAGACGAAACGTACTTCCGAGGTTTCAAACAGAGGCAACTGCTGCCTCTGACACCTCCAGCCCCACAGTCACAAAAGAACCGGCTGAGTCGAGAGTACACAACCTTGTGTCCTCTATGACAGACCCTGGCACACATAGAACAGCAGCCCTTGGAGACAGTCAAGTCGCAGGTGTAACAGAAATACCAATGCTGCTCCATGAAATTGCTACCACTGGAAGTGAATGTGCAAACACGAGAAGCCAGCGCGCGTTCACTGCTGCTGCCACTGTCGTCATCGTCACGGTCCAGACTCGCAATTTCGCCATCCGAGGTTGCGTCGTCGTCATCCTCGGCTGACATTGCATCACAATCAGGAGCTTCCTCGCGTGGCTCTAGAGCAGTTGGCGGAAGTTGCTCTGAGTTTTTCTGAAATACTGACGGCTTCATTCGTACACCTGAGCTGGAATTACCAAAACTGTCTTTACTCCCCCCACGCTCAGTGAGCAACTCATTTTTGCTGGCACCGCAAGCGCTTAAGATAGAGATAAGGAAGGCAACTATAGACTTCAAGCCTTCCACATTTGAGCTATTTACAGGCAACTTCCCCACAAGTTCCACCACGCTTTGCAGTAGTCGCTTTAAAGACAAATCTCCTTGAGCCAATTGAACCATCAGTCCAAAGTATGACTTTGCAGCCACAACATCGAAGGTCACGAAGGCCTTTTCCAGGTTCATCAGCATAGCTGTGAGCAAATGAGAACGTAGTCTTTGTCCCTGCGCGTCAGGTGAAATAGCCACAAGAGATTGTATAAAACTGGAAGCCAGATCCCTAACACCAGAAGGTGCTGTCAACCTCACTGTCTTGTCCTCAGCGGCACTCCCAATCCAGCCGAGGAGCCTTTGTTCTAACCACCCAGCTAACCTGACGGTATCCATCTGCGCAAACTTTTGCTGCACATCCATCTTACACCTGAGGTCATATCCAAGTAAGACAACAAGAAGTTGTAATGATTTAACGTTCACTCTTTCAGAGATACAGCCATCCAGAATATCTATAAGGAGTGACGCATCTCCTGAACCCACAAGAGCTCTGCAATTACGCAAAGTCTTGAACTTTTCCTCCTCGGCGCCGACTGATTGCGGTTTGCAGTAAAATAGAAGTAACGCCTCGAGTCTGGAAGGATCACTGCGAATGTTGTTATGAACTTCAAGCACATGCAGAACAAGGGCCTCCCAAACAGTGTCATTGACTTCGTCTTTCCTCTTGCAAAGGAGTTGTAGGAGTTTCTGTGCATGCTTCAGCTCATTCAAGTCACTGCACAAAGCTTGTTCTTCTTTAACGGGCACTAGGGCATCCAGTAAAACGGCACACTTGCTTTGCATATTTTCAAAAGTGCTGTCAATTTTCATTTTCAAAAGTGTATTCAACAGTCCATCCAAGACCCCGTCCAGCGAAAAAATTTCATCGGAACCTCCACCACGGTTCCCAGCATGAATGAGTACTTGAATTGAGCCCAAAATCTCCTCAATACATAACATCGCGGACAGAACAGCAGCGCTGCCTGGCCGAGAAGATAATGGAAACCCATGATGTAGAGGGAGGGAAAAAATCGTTTTAAAACCCTTCGATTTCTCCATGATGGGTCCCAAGGAGAGTGTCAGAGGCTCAGATATCCACGTATTTTCTGCACTCCATTTAGGAAGAATATGCGAAATTGTGACATTAACACCCAAAGCCCCTAGAAGATCCTGTTGCTCACTCCTTGACAACCCTCCTTGCAAGAGCAAATCAGCCGAGAACAGAGATACCTTGCCCAATTGCTGCTCCAGTAGAATGTGTGACACTGCATCTCGCAGAACATTCGCGTACCAATCCAGCAAAACAGACAGGGTTTTCAAGAGGTTGCCTATATGACCATCTTTTGACAGGAAGTCCGTTGCCTGTTCGAAAAAGGTCGGTAGCTCGGACTCTTTAGAGGCCTTATCCTCTGAGGCATTACTTTCTATTGAAGTTGTCCCTCCGGCTTGCAGTAGTGACAGCAGCACAGTCAACGAAGAACTGTGTCTCAGTAAATCCCACGATAGAAGTTTAACCTGTCCTTCACAGAGAAGGGTCCGCATAGCACTCAGGCTGCGTGTCAAAAATCCCGCCCACTGATCTGCAACAAAATTTATTCCACCAACACCTGCTATGGGTAGGCTTCTGGGTAGGTTCAGTAAAACCTCCGATCCTAAATGATCCGCGTTCAACTCCACTGCTGCAACACGCTTCAGTAGAGGGCTTAAGCAGCATATTGTGCTCCAACCAATTACATACACATACCTTTCAATCATCAGCTCTTCAACGATTTTGAAGGACCTGCCCTTCCACATACCCAAAATATCACTAATCACTTGGCCGACTTCGTTCATATCCAAATCTGTAACTTGAAACGCATCGACGTTCAAAAGCCCATTTATATCGACAAGCTGTTGTATACAGAAGTCATCCATCACACGCTCCTCCCCGGCGCCGTAATCTTCAAATATATTTCGCGCAACAAGACCTACCCATGACTGTTGAGGATTATCATCTCCAGCTCCAATCGAGCTAGTACCTGAAAGATTACCGTGCACCTTCCGACGCAAGTGCACCACCAGCCACCGAGGGTAGGAGTCAAAATGGAGAACCAAATAACGCAATGCCAACATCAACCTTGACACTAGCAGGGACCACATTAAAAATGGTATACCAGGAGATAGATGCCTCTCAGTGTTCCGAAGAGACCTTAAGGCAACCACTAAGTTTCGTAATATAAGAGATCTTCCAGAATTATCCAGCGAATGGAAGGCCATAAAGAGAAGTTCCATATGGAAAAAGGAAGGCAAGGCCTTAGTGATATTAAAATCACCAGATCTGATGCTCCGAGTTCTAAAAAGAACATAATCCAGAAATGTCTTCCAAAACTCAAAGGCTAGGGGATCGTTCTGGACAACAGAACCTCTTTGAATTGATCGCTGAACAAGTAGTTTTCCAAACAAACTGCAGCTCTTGGCTGAAAGAGCAATAGATGCATCGCCTCCCCTCAATATCTGAGTGGCAAGATGCAACTCCAATGCATCGTTTAGAGCATGCCTGACCACGAGGGTACAAAGTAGATCAAATGATCCCTTGTATAACTGAGCCAATAAATCAGAAGCAATATCTTCAGAGTCCACCATGTCGAAATCAAGTGCGTTGCAGTTCACCAGACTAGATTGGGAAAGATAAATCTGCAGGAAAACATCCAAATGTTCCTTCGACAGCATCTTACACGCGACAGCAAATGTTGGTTGGTGCCACTCGGGACAGAAGATACAATCTTTCAAAAAGCTCAACAACAAATTCGCCACTTGCAATGGAGTACTGTGAAGGGCATCTAACTTCTTCGTTGAGGCACAAGTTTGCGCAAGTCCCTCTGAAGTGATCGAATGCCTTCCAGATTCAGAGAAAAGATCACCAAACAGCGCGTCATCTTCGCTTGCGACAGTAACAGAATCCACTGATCCCACTGCAGAATCCTCTTCACTGTGCACGGACGAAGCAGTTTCCATGACTGATCCCTCTTTCAGACCTTGGGCGTGAAACAAGGCTGTCACAGCCACTAGGTTGTCCAGCCACTGACCTTCACTTGGAAACACAACCTGCAACTGCTCTTGCGGACTAAGCATCTGATTAAAGTCGAATTTTTTGTTATGAAGCTCACAGATAGGTAAACCTTGGATAAATCTTCCACTTCGACCTTGGATGAGATTCACTGCAGGTGGTCTTGGTTGCTGGTAAAACATGCCAAAGGAGTGGGTTGGAATACCTTGAAGAAGACCTAGTAAGTGGCTAATTACATGTGGAGTGAACGCCAATGGTAGTTGTTGCCCGGAAAGAGAACCATGCTGCTTAAAACGACTAACTTCAAGAATGTCGAGCAACGATGCCACGATAAATATCTTGAAATTTCGCAGGACAATCTCATCTGGGAAAATTACTTCAGAAAGCTGGAGCAAACTATCTATCAAAGAAGGAAGCGAACTGCCTTGATTGGAATCCAGCATCATCTCAGGCTCCGAGCTACTCAGTTCATAAGTATGCTGGAAAAAAACTCGCAAAGTTGAAGCATAATTCACTAACTTAGTGCCAACCTCCGCGTCCCAAAAACCTCCACCGTAACCTCTGAGAAGATTTAACAAAAGATTTGCTATACTAGACACAAGAGCTATCCTGCCCTGCAATAACCTGTCACCCTCTTCGTTGGAAACCTTCCCACAATCCAACAGCAATTCTTGACACACCTCCAACAAGCGTGGAATGCATCTAGCCTGCCCAAAAGCATACAGCTGCGCTGCAGCCACCATGCTAGTCCCTGTCTTGAACAAAACTTGTGAATGCTCAGCCTGAGAACTTCTGCTCAGCTCATGCTCGCTAGCCAACAATGAAAGTATATTCTGCGATGGGCCTACCGCCTTCTGGTCTCCAGAAAGATCCCCTTCTGTACATAAAATGGAGACAGTGCGCACCTTGTTATCAAAACTCATCGGCAGTAGTAATGCATACGAGGCTAGCAAACACTTTTAAACACAAACCCAAGAATGACAAGCAAAGGTTGCGCGACATTGTAAGTGTGCTCACAGGAGCTCCCCGCTATTACTGTAAGCCCATGTTGCATTCACATTCCTCGGTAAACTATACGTTCTACTTATTTTTCTGGGTATAAGAAAGAAAAAAAAAAAAAAAAAAAAAAAAAAAAAAAAATGTATTTAAATGGATACTGTAACAGAATTGTGTTAAAGATTTCATACCACAAGTAATTATGAGATCCCTGGGAACGACACTTGTCTTTCCAAGCAACAACAGGAGTCATTCAGACAAGAAGGCTTTAGCACAAAAAGTCCTACCTCCAGAGGGTTGCTCCATGACATAGGTTGAGCTATTTCCAGAGAAACTAGGAATAGGTAGATCAAAGAAAGGTACTTCGGTGGTAGCATTGTCCAGCGATCGGGATACATGCGAATTACGCTCCTTTGCCTTTCCTTCAACTACGGCGGTCTCCAGGAGTAAAAGTAGCCTCTGTTGCACCTGCAGCGATGAACCGAATTGTCACTCTTCAACTTTCGACACCATAAAGAAGGTTAAATTGTAAACTGCCAACAATGAGACAACCACAAGTTTACAAAAATGGATGTACTGTATTAAACATATGTATATCAGGTAATCCACTCTGGAATACACGAAGCCAATGACAACAGATCGTTGTTACTACTGAAGATTCACAGACTTATCAAAAGAAAAACAAAATCTACCAATGCAACAACAGTTCGAACAAGTGAGCAGACTATCTCAAGCTTCCATCCTGGAACCCTAAAATATGATAGAACCAGAAAATCAGTTATCAACCTGCCGCCATCGTATTAACTGTCCAGAGAAGAACAAGCAGATAATACATCAAATGATTTCCTCAGCAACGACTCCAAATAATCATCAATGCCAACAAACTTGTTGGAATGTTAGCGAGTTTCAAGTCAGGACAGGATAACCGGTGATGACTGAACGGTCGTGGTTGTTCTCACAAGCTATAATGCCAACTACAACAAAAAGAACTCAAAGTGCACCCGGATTAGAAAACGCCGACCAAAAATCACACAATTTGAGAGGCCCGCACCTCGGGGTACGCAGAACCACCAGTTCTGGACAACTTGTCGGCATCAGTCTCCTCGGAGTGCAACAATAGAAAATCATGAGTGTTTCCATGGAGCTTCGACACGCTGTACTCAAGCTCCTGCAAACAGAACTGAACAGTAGCTCTGTAGAACTGCTCTACGAGCGCTTTGTCTCCTCCATCTGCAAGGACACGCAGAGAAAGACTTACCGCGTCACGTTCGTTATCAATTTTGACCACCACAACAAACCTTCGGTACATCATACTCCAAAGTATCACACTTGATACTGTAAGGCCACCATACTGTTCAATTCAATTTTCCCTGTAATTGAAATGCTTTCATTCACAATCAATTGTAATTTCAATAATCTATTGGACCCGAATCAAACATCAAAAATCGAAAAAACAAATATCAATCGCAACCAAAATCATTGACCATGCATAGTCCCTAGTCACCGACCTGCGATCCAATCACACGAAGCACACAGCACGGCATCGGCGATTGCCAAAACATAATCCACCTGCTCCTTATTCCACTGCCACAACCCTGCCCCTTGCACATCCACATTCAACCCTAGCCTCAACACAGCCAGAAGCTCCACTAACCCTGCCTGCACCTCCTCGTCCTTCAACCGCTCTTGCAACAACCCCCCGGGCAGCTGCAACACCTCTACCAACTTCTTCAGCGTCCCCATCCCTCATGCCCCCCGCTCCCCTCCCGTTCCCCCAACCTCCACCGCTTTCCGTCACACCATCCACCCCAAAGCCTTGGGGATTCGATTATCCCTTTCCTCTAAACTAACGCACCCTCGGAACAATCCACGCGAATCCGCTCACCTCTCTCCGCCACTCCGCGCCTTCCAAGCACCAACTAAACCAATCAAGCACACGACACAAAAATAAAAATAAAAATAAACGAGATGCCGATTCCAACACCGATGTCACTACACTCCAGACCGACCGACGGAGTGTGGGAGATATGCACACGATGTTTACAATGCAAGCTACGAGGGGAAACCCTAAAGAAGCTTTGTTGCCGCAGGGGAGAGGCGAGAGTGGGTGGCAATATTCATAAGCTCGGAGCGGCCATAGCCACGAGCCAGCCAGCCAGCTACGATGATACTGTACCGAGTGACAATACAAATAAATCCCTTAGGGCCGTGGTCTGGTGTGGTTGTTGTAGTAGTAGTTAATGGGGCCTCCCTCGTTCAACTGCCTTCCCATCGGACGCCCCCCCCCTTTCTCTACGACCGTTCTGACCTGGAACCTTGCCTCCCTCCCCACCGCTGCCTCTTGGTGTTTCTCCCTTGGGGCGGTGGCCTTCTCCGTCCGCTTCTGGAATGTGCTGAGGTGGCGACCCTCACACCTGGCCAACTTCTTCCTCCCCTACCACATTTACCATTATGTCTATACATCCATCCCCTCCTTCGACAAATGATATCCGTTCTCTTTCCAGGTGTGGGCTTGGGTGACCGTGGGGAGGGCGGGCACAGACGGGGAACTACTCCTTCCACCGAAAATTGAAAGACCGGATGCTTAACAACGAAGGAAAAGACCTCTCAAAGTTTTCCTCACCCTCTGCCCGTCCTGCCCGCCCTGCCCCTACCCCTGCCCCCCCTGCCCATCTAATTACGATCCTCAATAATATACACAGTGGGAATTCAGGTATGAAAAAATATATATTTGAGTTTTTTTTCGAAAATAAATATTTAATGTTTAACTTTATTCTATGAGCATACAATTGAAACATGCTTTTAAAAAATATGTATACAAATCTTATGTTCAAATTTATGAACAAGTTTTAATGATGTGGTATAGTTTTATTTTTAATATTTATTCAAATTCTTGAGGAAAGAATATGATTTACAAAGATGGTTTAAATTGTTCATAAGTCATGATTACAAGTAAAAAATAATTCACTTTGCTTAAAATTTGCTGAAATTTGCTTAAATGACATATAGTTATGAGCATTAATAATTCAAGTTAGCTTATTTTAATCTTAAAGAAGACTAATACTGAATTTTGATTATTTTCAATGTAGCACTAAGAAAAAAGTTGTTAAACTATAAATTAACAAAAAAAAACATTTTTTTGACAGCAACAAGTAATCGTGTAACATAAAAATGTATTTCAAAAAATGATCTTGTTTAAAACCACATATGGTGTCAGTTGATATCAAAATGATAAGATTTTATGAAACATTCAATTTTGATACACAAAATTAAATATATAATTTATATTTATATTAATTATAATTAATATTCTATAGTATGTATGAATGAGAATTAACATATATATATATATATATATATATTTAGAATTATTAAATTCACCCATGCATTTAGTAAATCAACCCATCCGTCATCATTGGTTGAGGATCCAACCATTTTTTCAATGGTTTTTTACCAATCTAGAGAATCTATATCTATATATATATATATATACACATATATAAATGAAAGCAAATGTGTTTTAAAAAATACAAGTAAGCTGTGAACTTAGAACAATTCATTCTATCTGTCGGACAAATTTGAGTAAATTGCAGATTATAAGTTCGAACAATTTATTCAATTTCGGACAACAGCTTAGAACGAGGTTTTGTGAGCAGATTAGACCCACAAGATGTAAGAAAAATCTCACTCATGTTGCGGAGTCAGCGTCGTTGCTACTTCGACGACAACATGGATCTTATCATCCAATCTTCACAACTCTCGGTGGGGATCGAATGTCAGTTTGGGGACAAAAATTCAACCTCAATTGCTGCCTCAACTCCCAAGAACGTCTTACTCACGCTCCAAGAACTGTATGGTTTTCTGGTTCTTTCCTTGTGTCTTGAGAGGAGATGTTGTGACTGTTGTCGTCAACCCTGGCGCTGGTTGCTGTTGTTCCTGATCAGCTGCAGTGCAAGGACTTTTCGAGGCATATTGACGTTGGACAGCGTGGTGGTTGTGAGCTTGGAACCGCTCGGTTGAGGTTTCCGAACCGTGTGGGTTGACTCCAGGCTGTGGAGATCGTGACCACCCACATTGTTTTGTGAATGATACAACGCCGTACGTATGACGCTTTTGTGTGATTATTTGCGGGTAAGTTATTTGCGGGGTTGTGGTGTTGGATGGTTTCGTTGATGGCGAGGCGGGAACTTCACACATCACGTTGTTGGTAAGGGAATTTGGGATTACATAGAAAAGGACTTAAGTGCGTTGTAAGTGTGTTGGTTGCGTTGAGGAAGAACCTAGTTGGGGTGATGTCTGAATCGAGAGGTTGGTTCCTTCACCAACTTGTTGCCTGGCATGTGCATGCATATCCTCCAGACTAGAGATCTTAATTACCTCCTCAACGGGCGAATTTCATGGAATGTAATAGTTTTATTTTAATTTTAAGGTCGGAACTGTCAAGTTACATCGCGTCAAATCACAAACTCAACCAAGCTCATGTAAAAACGTAGTCACATTGGCTTGAAAGCGATGTGAGATGTTTACTTCGAAGCCAGGACTTGCTAAAGTCACGTGCTGGGATGTTGCTGGCCTATGGGGACGCAAAAGAGAATGGCCAAAACGGTAAAACGCAGCAACGCAAACATGAACAGTGCGGCAGCGGCGGTGGCTGTGCTCATGCTCGTAGCATCAGTTACCGACACCGCTTCCGCTAAGGAGTACACAGTGGGCGGCACCACTGGCTGGGACTACGCACCCACGACGTCCTTCTACTCCGAGTGGTCCAACAAACTCAGAATCGTCCCTGGTGACAAGATTGGTACGGTATTCCGAATCCCTTGCAACACTCGAATGCCATACAATCCGATATATTCCTACCAACTTCCACAATTAAAATGTAAGCAAACTTCAGAAACTGCTCATGAGTCTCGGCATTATGAACCATGGCCCGGACTAAGCTTCCATCTTCCTACTCCTCCTCCTCCTTCCATCGTCTGCGAACAGTGTTCAAGTATATGCCGACTGCGCACAACGTGCAAGAAGTGACAGAGGCTGACTATGCTGCTTGCAATAGCATGAACCCCATCACGGAATACCAATCAGGTAACGACATCGTCACGCTTCCCAAACAAGGCACCCATTACTACATCTGCGGAGTCCTGGGCCACTGCACTGAGGGCGGCATGCGTATGAAAGTCACGGTGGTCGCCGATGATTCTCTCAATTCAGCGGCACCTGCAGGGAGTCTGCCTTTGCCCCAAGCGAGCACCCCACAGACAGGGGCTTCCAGCACTAGCGGATTGGCTCGTCGGGGTGGTGACCATGCAAATTCCCCAGCGATCCCACCCATTTCTACTGCAGGTCACTCCGCGGCACAGATCTCGGCCAAGCCGAAGAGCCTTAGTGGGATGGCGGTTCTGTGGAGTGTCGGTGCTGCAGCCCTGGAGTTCATAGTCGGTGTAGGAATCAACGAGGTCAACGTTCACGGACATAAGCGTTTGCACAATGTTTCTTGATTTGTGGTACTCCATCGAATATGAAGTTTCATGATCTTGATTGACATGTTGTGACCCTGTGTTCCTATTTCATACTATTGAATTACTAAAGTTTTGGTTTCCATTTATGGATTCTATGTGTTTTGGCATTCTAGTTCTCAGGTTTTATGTTCTTACTAAAGATTGGATTGATGCTAGTGTGTTCGTAATGCAAATTATTTTCCTAGTTTACAATTTCTAAGTGCTATGTTAAAAAATGTGCATCATGTTGTTTGATTGTAATTTTTTTGATTGTTACTATATTAGAAGTGTATGACTTAATATTATATTTATAGATATATATATATATATATATATGTAGGTATATATATATATATAATCCTCAATACGTGTTAATATTTTGGAGCAAGTAAACTTATAGTACTTATGTAGTTTTGATACTCTAACACTTATTGAGGGTAGCATAGACAATTTGTAACACTTATATAAATAGCACTTGTGTTTTTTGGAATTAAAATCAATAATACTTATATAAATAAAAGATGAAAATACATAAGATATGAATATTATCATAAATCTAAGCACAATAGAAGAACAACTCTAAAGTAATTTGATGAGATTTTTGTGCATACCAAGATTTTTATCTTTTTGAAGTGTTTAAATGCATTAGATAAAAGATATAGCATTAATAGATATTTATTCCAAAAAATGTTTCAAGGTGACTAATGCACTTTCAATATCCTTGAACTCTACTTTGCTGATGACCACATCACTAATTTGTACATTATTAACTTTGTTAAAGGATTCATTGTCAATAATATCATCTCTTTTATCAAGTATATTTATAATTTTTTCCTTAGTAGTAATATAATGATTGTTGGGATGAAATTTCATTTCATAATTATTTAACATATGTGTGTTTATGATGGATCCAGTTTCACTATTTAGAGATACCAATGCTAATTGTTTCAGTAAGATAATAACTTTTTTCAAATCTTTCTTCTATATTGCTTCTTAAGCTTTTCTATCTTTCATATTACCTCGTTTATATTAAGATTGTAAAAAAGAACCAAAAAAACATCTATTTATTTTCAACAATTCCAATGTACCTAGCATTCTCTAGCATTGTTACATATTGATACACATCAATATCTTTGCTCTTCTTTTCTATAAAAAAATCTATCTAATATTGAATCAAATACTTGTAGTATTGAGCTTCAAATGATTGAATAATTTTTGCATCTATGAGTTGGAATCCACTTGTAGTATTTAGAGGAAAGAATTCAAGTTTAGTCACTATCAATTACCCACCTATATTAGATATTTGGTAACTTGAAAAATTATCTATCAATAGTGATATCTTTATATTTAAAAACCATCTTCTTTTCAAAATCAAATATAAATTCTTCAAACATACTTATAGTCATCCAAGCTTTCTTATATACAAACTACTTAATCCTAAGGTTATTTGGATTGTGAATATACTTATGTAAAAATGCTTGAAGCTTTATATATTTATTGATGATTAGAGGAGGAAGTTTTATGGTAATATCTATTATAGACATTCAACAAAAAGATTTTAAGAATATTTTTATAATTCTCTATTAGATTTTATAAGATTTTTAGAATATTTTAATACATTTTTAAAATATTTAAAAGGATTAAGGAAGTTGTTGAAGAATCTTTCTAAGGTTGCTTCATCTTTAAGTAATATGGAAATTTCTCAAGAAGCATCTTAAAGTTACTTTATCTTTAAGGAATATGAAAACTTCTCAAGAAGCTTCCTAAGATTGCTTCATCTTTAAGCAACATAAAAACTTTTCAAGAAGCTTTTTAAGGTTGCTTCATCTTTAAGCAATATGAGGACTTCTCAAGAAACTTTCTAATATCTAGTATATATTGGAATTGACACTGAAAGGATCCTAAGTCTTTTAGAGCTTTTGATCTTATACTTATCTGATTTAATTAAATTCTTATTAGCTTTTTTATTGAAATTCTTCCATTCAACTTTTTGTTTAGTCTTTTATATTATATATCCATGACAATTTGTCAAGACTGCCCTCTTATCAATATTAGAGCTTGATCCTTCTTGATAGAGAGTGGATTATCTCTCTTTTTGAAGGTATCTAAGTACTTTAGAGGTTGCAAAGTACTCTCCACTAAATTAAAATTGTTTAGAAATTCCTTTTATTTTCTTACTATATAGTTGGAGATGAAGATGTTGGTCTAGTTGAATCTCTCAAGTCCATGTTAGATATTATTATGAATACACTAAATGGTTTCGCTTATAGAATTGCTGAAATTGAAGAATTTTATGCAAGATTTCATGGTGATGTAAGACTTGAAGCAGGTGAGCATGTAATACAATTACCTTTTTAAGCTTTTATATTCCATATTGCATCTAGGCATCAACAAAAAAAATCGCTTATTTAACAATGTAAAGAGCCTTGGATTAGTCTTCCAAAAAAGTTTGATGACATATGCTCAAAGTTCTAAGGATTTGTAAAATAAATTCAATTGATAACTTTTCTGCAACTTGAGCACTATTCAACAAAAGAATTATAAGTTAATTTAGTTAGAACCTTGCTCAAAGAACAAGTCTTTTCTTAATTTTCTCTTTTAATTTGAAAAGAGATCTCTAATCTTGAGTAATTTTGAAGTTTTTTTAAAAGTATTTGTAGAGGCATTTAGAGATCAATTATGAGATTCATAATAAAGAGTTTTTTTGTAATTGTAGACTCTTTTCAAGAATAATATCACTTGTTGAAAGGCGCTACACATCTTGTGACTGTATGTATAGATCACAAAAATTTGGAGTATTTCATATTAGTTTGGGTTTTGATTTACCACTATGTTCATTAGAATGTATTATTATTTCATTTTGATTTTGTAATTACATATCAACTAAGAAAGAAGTAATGACTTTGAAATGCTTTATCAAGGATATCATATCTTGCTCTAAAAATTGAAGAAGCAATATTTCATCAGCAATATACTACTTTTTTAAAGCCAAAATAATTTTGTCTTTGTGCTACTTCTATGGTTACATCTATTAATTTAAATTTTCTTAAACAAATTCATATAGTATCAGCTAAAGACTTCTTAATTTGTAATATCAAACAATGCCTTGATAATGATAAGTTCAAGTTTGTGGAAGATCTTTTGTATATTGAAGATTATTTATATATTCTAGAAAAACCAATATGACTTCATGCTCTTCAATACTACCATAACTTTCTATTTATAGGATATTTTGGATTTAACAAAATATTGGAGCTTATCTCTCAAGATTTCTAATGGCCTCAAATGTAGAAGACTATAAAAGACTTTGTCTTCTTGTTTAATATTTGTTTAAGATCTAAGAATTCTTAGCATCATTCTTATGGACTTCTATAGCCACTACCAATTGTAAAGTAATCATGGTCTTTAATATCAATGGATTTTATCATTGATCACATGCCATTAATTACATTTGATACTATTTACGTTGTTGTAGATAAACTTATAAAGATGGCACATTTTGTCCTAGAAAAAAAAAATTGCAAAAAAATTGCAAAAAAATAGCAAGGCTCTTTTTTGATAATGCATATCAATATTATGGCCTATCTAATATCATTTTTAATTAAAGATCTCAATTTATATCAAAATTTAAAAAATATTTTTTTTGAGATATTGCAAGTAGATATCAAACTTTTTTTTTACCTTCTATCTTCAAACAAATGGTCAAATAAAACAAGTCAATTAAGTTTTGGAGTAGTATTTACAATATACTATCAACTATCAACAAGATGGTTGGACCTTGTATTTATCTTTAGCAGAGTTTGCTTGCAATAGTATTCTTCATGTTTTAACTCATAAATACTATTTTACGCTATTTATGGTTACCATCTAAAGCTTAAATACATCAAAAGATGCAAATTCAGCAGCTAAAGATCTTGCAAAATAATTGTCACAATTCTAGACAACTTTGAAGCTCTAGTTATAAGCAACTCAAGATTCTTATAAAATATCTTTAGACAAATTTAAAAAAGAATCACATGCTTTTTAAATTAAAAATAAAGTATGGCTTTTTTAATAAAATGTCAAGATTAATAGGCCTTACAATAATTTGGACTACCAAAGATTAGAGCCACTTGATATTCAAAAGTAAATCAATCTAATGGCTTATTAGTTGGAATTACATACATTTATAAAGATAAATTGAGTCTTCTATGTTTTTGTCTTAGATTTTTATTTAGAATTAATTATTTCAAGGAAAATACAATTATCATTGCCTTGCATTGAAATAAATTAATATATAAAATATGAGGTAGAAAAGATACTTGCTTCTCAACAAAAAAGAATTAAGTTGAAATATTATATTCATTGGCATCGCTACAATATGAATAAGCATAAATAGAAATAAAAAAATATAATTAATGTATTGCAAAAGATATAGGAGTTTCATCAACGCTATCCTCAAAAATCTAAGCCTATTTTAAAATGACTTTTCTATAAAAAGTACTCCTAAGATACTATATATAATAAAGAAAGTAGATATAAAATTAATTTTCTTTATAGAATTCAAAATTAAAAAGGGATGTGATGTTATAGACATATAATAAGATGATTTTAAGAATATTTTAAAAATATTTTAGTAGAATATAAAAATAATAGGAGGATTAAAGAAGTTATCTGAGAAGCTTTTTTGGATTTCTTCATCTTCAAGCACCATAGAAACTTCTTAAGAAGCTTTCTAAGGTTGCTTCATCTTTAAGCAACATAAAAACTTTTTAAGAAGATTCTTAATACCTAATATATATTAGAGTGGAGGTTGACATGATCATCAATCTCAACAACACATCTTTTAGAGCTTTAGCTGATATCTTTGGATGTTAATCTTATACTCATTTTATTTAATCAAATTCTTATTAGCTTTCTTGTTGAAACTCTTTCATTCAAGTTCTTGTTTGGTCTCTTATATAATATATCTATGACACTATCAATATTTGCAATAAATATAACAGTATAATATTCTTTCTCTATCTTCTTTCTAAATAGTATCTTTATTATAAGTATGCAATTTGGTCTAATCCTATAAAAGAAACATGTCTTATTTATATTAAATATGTGAGAAAGAACATACAAG